AAAACCCACGTTCTTGGATTTTTTTATTGTATGCAAACAATTTATTAACATATGTACCAACCATTACGAAAATTGGTTAACAGTGCAGTTTTTTCTTTAGCATTACCATTATAACGGCATAACCACAGTTTAACAACATATTCCAGGGTTAAAATATGGTTAGTGTTGCAAAACTGGTTAATTTATGGTTACCATGGTTTAACTAGCCATGTTTTTTAACCATAGTAAAACCCTGGTTAATTTGCGTAAGGGATAGTAATTAAATTAATTTGCTGCAGTACAGTCCTTCTTCGTTTGTCATTCTTCGTAAAATGTCAAATACCTCCACAGCAGTCACTTTACTATGCTGAATAATAAGAATAACGGAGTGTCTTTTTACAGTAAGTGCAAATAGCCCGCCTTGTTGGCAGAGGCTCTTTACAGTAGCTCCACCCACCAATGTGTGATTTGGTTAGTCAACCATACAAAAGACGGCAATTTATCAACAGTTCCAGTGTCGTAGATCATAAAGCGCATGCCATAATCTTTTGGACGCTATCGATGCGGGTTCGAATCTGCCTTTAGCCGAACATTTTTTTCTCCCTTTTCAAATCTCATATCACATCGGTAAAACTTTCAATAAAAATTAAGGAAGTAATCGAAAAGTTGAAAATAAAGTATCGGGTAGGGTTAGGGTAGGTGTAGGGAGGGCTTTATTGTCCCAATAAGATGGCATCCATTTAATAATTTGAATTAAAATGGTAATTTAACACGTTATTATTGCATATTGTCACGCCCTTGGACTTCCCCTGTGTTCCTATGTCTTGTGTTTTTGCTCCCCATGTACTCCCCATTATCCAGTTTCTCCCTTGTCTTTTGATTTCAGATGTTCCCTGATTAGTTTCCATGGTTTTTGATTAATTACTCCACCTGTTTCAGTTCTCCCTGATTCTGTTCCCTGTGTTTATAAGCCCAGTGTTTCCTGTGTCTTGCGTCCTGTGTTAAACGTTGAAAGGTCTCTGTGCTACGTGTGTTCTAGGGATGCGCCGATCCGATATTCATATCGGGTATGGGCTCCGATAGCGCCATTTTTCTCGGATCGGGTATCGGTCAGAGAGAGCCGATCCAAATCCGATGTTTGTTTTTTTTTTTCCCCGATTGTGCGAATTATTGTGTTACTTCTGAAGCCATACGATAGCTTAATGTGAGCTACATATGGATATTTAAGTCCTTACATTAAAGTTCACACAAACTCTTTTCTCGCTGTGGCTGGCAGTCATTCGTTCAGCCTTTAAACCCTGCTCGCGTTCGGTTACAGCAGTCAGCTCGGTAAAGCTCTCTCCGAGATCATTCTGTGTTCCCATTATACTGGATTTGTAAATACATGTCTATGATTTTGCAAAAAGGACTTTATCTTCTTGCCGGAGTTTAATGTTGTTTTTAAAACTGTTAAAAGAAAGGCTCAATAACTGTTGCACAGATATAATACACTACG